CCTGACCCGCCCGCTGCTCCCCTCAACTGTGTACTTCAAACATCTGCCTGTTCTGCTCCCCACTCTGTCTCTGGTGAAGCCTCTACCCGCCCCTGAGCCTCTAACCTATACCCCAGTTCTGTATGAATAAATAAATAAATCTTTAAAAAAGTGAAGAAAAGGGAACTTTGCAAAAGCGCACATAGAATGCTCCCCTCAGCAGTGTACTTCGTCGATCTGCCTGTTCTGCTCCCCACTCTGTCTCTGGTGAAGCCTCTCGCCACCCCTGAGCCTCTAACCTATACCCCAGTTCTGTATGCACAAATAAATAAATCTTTAAAAAAAAAAAGTGAAGAAAAGGGAACTTTGCAAAAGCGCACATAGAATTCTGGTTAAAACAAAGATAACTGAGGCGTTATATTTCAAAGACCCACTACCCTCAAGTATGAAGTAAAGCAAGACATCGTGTTTTTTCTCGCTCATGCTTATTGGATGCTTCCGAGTTTGTGGCAGACTCGCCACTTGGTTTCTAAAACATGCAGAGAGCAGCGCTTGTGGTTTAGGAGTCCAGGCTGTACCAAGCCCGACAGGCGACTGACCAGAGCCTCTCGGGAACACAAGGAACCCCCTCACAGCGACACGGCCACAGCACAGACCGCGGACTAGTGATGCATGCTTGTCCGGATTTTACGGTGCAGTGCTGTGGAGGGGGATGACCAGGGGACACGCAGGCAACCTCCAGAATGCTCTGACATCCAAGCACGTCCCAGAACAGAAGGGTTGCAGCTGGGTGGACAGGTAAGGCACTAAGGCTGCAGCAGGTGGGAAGACACCAGCCAGAGGTCCACGCTGCAACCCCGGGAGGAGAGGTGCTGCTCGTGACGCTGCTTTGCGATAAAAATCTGATTTTTCAAAGGATAAGAACATAAAATAATCAAACTCCTGGTTTTTTGCCCTCCAAAGGATACTTTGCTCTCCCCTTAGAGACGTCTGCCTCAGTCTTCAAATCTGGAACAGCAGCGTTGAGGCTCCCACAAGAGCCCAGAGCAGCCACTCTTCGGGGAAGTCCTTTCTCCCCATGCTCTCCCTTCCATCACACCTTTCCAAGTTGCCTGTCTTTGCTCCTGTCTCAGCTGGATGATGAGCAATCCGGTCACTTCACCTTCCCTGGCAGCAGGACCCGGTACTTCTTCTGAGGCAGCTCTGAACACCCCTGGGTCACAGCTTGATGAATGCAGCGGGCGGGGTCGGCTGCTGCTCGGTGTCTGGGGGCGGGAAGACACTGGCTATGGCTATGTCCACGATGCCCTGGCACAGCTCTGCGTACAGCTTCCTGGAATGTGTTTAGAAACATAGCGCTGAGTATGGTGATCAAAGTGCAAATGAGAAATCAAAGTTTTCAGGATCTGCCCTAGATACTCCATCTTATGAACACATTTCTAAAACTAGTTTCCACTGGATATATACAGGCACCACAAGAAGGCTGCATGAAGATGAAGCAGCCCCTAAACAAATATTCCTGGAAGGTCTTGCAGGTAAATAGGTTACTCCTGCTCTGCCCAGCATGGAGACAGCTTCACCGGAGTGGCTGGTGACTGTATATGTGGAGGAGGGGTGCTCTGCGTGGTTGGGAGCTTTGGGAAAGCCCAGTGGGAGTGACAGCTAAGTAAGGTAAGGTCTGGAGGATGGATGAAGTCCGACAGAGAATGGACGACAGGGGAGAAGAAAGGAGGAAGGAGGAAGAGACAGTCACAAAGATGGAACAAGAGAGGGAGCGCGAGAGAATGAGTTGGGGATGGGGTGAAGAGGGGAAGCACAAATGGGAGGAGGGGACCTCGCAGAGGAGACCTCGGGGCATTTGGGAAGTGGCGCAGTGCAGTGTGAGACTGGAGACCACACAGGCCCGTGCTGGTTTTCAGGTCATGAAACGGAATAAGGTCACACACAGAGAAGGTAGCCGAGAGAGATGTACAGCATAGAGAGGCGCTGGCTCGGCCGGAGGAGGAACAGAGGCCAGTCTCGCCCATTCTTCCTCAGCAAGTCTTCCCAGTACAGAGTGTGCCAAACCACCCCACAGCAAGGGGGCACCAGCTGCCAGGAATGTTCTGAGAGGTGCAGGCAGGAAAGAACGGGATGGGGTCATGGCCGTGGGAACGTGACGTGTGACCTTCAAAGAACAGTGTCCATGGGGCGGCACGGTGGAAGCCAGCTCGGAGGAAGCAGACATGGTTGGGAACAGAGGAAGCGGAGACAGCTCATGCAGACCTGCTTCCCAGGAGTCCGCTGTGAGGGGAAGAAGGTGAGGGCATGGTCCTCGGAGAAGGACCTGACGTCAGGGATGGGAAACCTGCTGTGTGCACAATGCCAGAGGGACTGCCCAGCACAGAGGAGGGTGATGCTGAAAATGAGAACCAGGCGAGGACAGGGGAGGCAGGGCAGTGAAGGCCTACAGCACAATGGCAGGATGCGCCCTTCACAGGAGGACGGGAGAGAGTGGGCGCACCACAGTGGGGCTTCCTTCCAACCACGTGCGGAGCATGTACATCCTCGGCTTTAGGAGAGACTCGTCTTGTCTGTAAACCGTATTTGTTAGGCTCTGTCTGGCCCGTTTTTCTCCACTAAGGGCAGGGCTGTATCTCCCAGGGCGCAGTCAGGGTTACCCAACGAGAACTTGCTAGTGGCAGGGATGGACAACTGAAGCACAGTCACACCTCTCAAAGCATCAAGGAAGTGGCAAAGGCATGGCTCCCAGTGAAAGAAGTCCTGTGTCAAACTGCCTCTTTGAAGCACATGGTTTCCTCCCAGAGCTTGAGAATCACCTCACTTGCCCCAAGATGTGGACATGGGGGACCATGAAAGGTCCTGACATCAACAAAATGGGTCTTCAGAGTCAATAGAGTGAAAGGATTAAGTCTGAGTAATTTCCCCTTACATTTCAGGTCTCTGCAGTGCAGTCTCAACTTGCTTTCATCTTCATCTTCCTGCCCCCCATGGCACTAATACCATGTTGCAATCAGGCTTCTCCTTGAAGAGAGGTTCTGTAAATCTGTGCAACCCCGCAGGTGAGCCAGCATAGAGCAAGACCCCACGGGGACTCTGCCCCCTTTCTGAAGGCTCTTCCCTGATCCCCTTGATGCCTGTAAGTCTTTTCTCCTATGGTCCAGCTTCAGCCCCACTGTGTCTACGATGCCTTCTCAGACTGCTTCCTGTCTGGGAGCCCGAGTGTCTCAGTCACCACTGTCTTCCCTACCCACAAGACCCTCCCTACTCAGCTTGTCAGTCATTCATTTTGTTGAAACTCATGGCATCTACCATTTAAATCCAACATGCATGTGGGAAATGGGAAATGACTCAGCAAAGTCCCTGTGGGCTGATGCACTCCCCAAGACTCCCACCACTGAGGCATCTCCCACAGAGAAAGCTAAGGATTTCCCTTGAACACTTGGTCAATAGAGCCCTCCACATCACGATGTCAGGCCATTCCACTTGCAAAACCAGCTTCCCACCCACTTAAACAAAAAGGCACTGGGGCTTACTGAGCACAAGCAGGAGCGCCATTGACCTCGATGAGCCAGACCTTCAGCTCCTTGTCCACCATGAAATCGAAACCGAAGAGCTGGAAGCTCTGGTAAGGGAGGTGCTTGGTACTGATGGCGGGCTCCACGCTCAGCAGGCAGCTTCTGTGGGCCAAAGGGGAGAGTGAATTGAGCACATCTGAGAAGAAGCCACAGAGATGGGCTTGGATGATATAAAATGTGCTGATAAAAACCAGGTGTGACTTAATTTTTCTTAAATTTGTTACCAATGATTCAAGGTCATGCTCAAATAATTTGTTAGAAACGCCACAAGCAAGTATGTTCTTAAAAGTAGAGGCTGCTTTCCCACTCAGAGTCACTATGGCCTCCGTAAATGTGGATCTGCCCAACACAAAGGCCTCCACCACATGTTTGTAATAAAGAAAAGTTTCCAGGCATTTCTGTCATATTAAAAAAAAAACTTGCATTTGGTAAAGAGCAGATCTGAAAAAAAAATGTTGATCTCGTTCTTTTCTTTCATTAGCCCCAGCTCTAAAGCCAAATTATTACTAAGTGACTTGAAGATATACATTACATGCGTATCTCTCTCTCTCTCTCTCTCTCTCTCTCTCTCTCTCACACACACACACACACACAGAGTAACCGAATGTTGAAATAGAGAGTAGAATTATTAACATCAACTACTGTTTGCAAAAATTGGGGGATTTTAGTGAAATGGAAAAAAGTTGAAAATGAATCTCAAAATACAGTAAGCAAGCATATGAGGTCAGACTGCCAAGGCCAGGATCTTAGTATGATTTTTATTTTAATCTCTGTACCAAGCATTGACAGTTTCCTCCATCCCTAAATGAGAGGGTAAAAATAATTACCGCTCCTAGTGCTGAGAGCCTCATGAGGTAATTAAACCTGGCAAAACTCCTGTCACCTAGGAAGCACTTAATAAGTGTTACCAATACTAATAAGCATGTTTTATTAATTTACCAATATATTAATCATTAATTCATTATTTATGGAAATAAATGTTATCTAATACAACCATCTCAGAAAACTGACTCCATTTCTAATTCATGAAGATTTTTCCAAAACTGAATATTAGAGCAAAATAAAGTCATGTGTTGCTTAATAATGGGGATATGATCTGAGAAAGGTTAGGTAATTTCATTGTGAGACTGTCACAGAGTGTAATCACACCAACCAAGATGGTGTAGCCCATTGCACACTCAGGACATAACCTCTTGGAGCCACCAGTGAATGTTTCTGTTGTTGACTGAAATGTTAAGTGAGGTATGACTCTATTAATCACAGCAAATAAAACACATTATGATGACTCTAAGATTGGGCTTTCCTGGTGGCACAGGGCTGAAGTCTCAGTGCTATCAAGCTATTGCTAGCCACCACAGCATGAGTTCAATCCCCAACCAGGGAGCTGACCAACATGGAGTAGCAGACTTTTCCTGTCTCTCACCCACGGCTCCCCTCAGTGTATTTCAGTAGATTGCCTGTTCTACTCCCCACTGTTTTTAGTGAATCCGCTTATCCCCTTGCTCCTCACATCTCTGGCCTACACCCAGTTCTTGCATGCATAAATAAATAAATCTTTTTTTTTTTAAGACTCTAAGATTATTAGACTCTATGTCCTTCTACACAGGTGTTTTTTTTTTTTTTTTTTTTTTTTAAAAGGAAAAAGATGCAGGGAACTGACTTCCAAGTAATTAACTTTAAGATGATTAGTAGTTTTTGACTCATGAAGTTTTCGCTCTATTAAAGATTTATGATTTTAGAGGACTGAGAACTCTGTGAACATGGAGTTAGAGCATTGCTCCCCAAACCTCCCTCCAACAATCATTTCACTCTGTGTCAATTTCCTTTACTTTTTTCCCTCCAAAGGGAATTATTTCTATAGATATGATTAAATATTTAACAATAATTTTGGACGGTTATTTAAGAACCAACTGGAACCTGGTTCCAGTTTGGAACCAACTTTATCCTCTCATGTATCTTTACTAGAAAACACTACCATGTTTCCATATCTTAATTTCTATTTTATCAGAGACTATTTAACTTTTGATGGAAATACCTTTTAAATATTATAATTAAGAAAAATTACAATTTTAATCTTACAAATTTAATAGATGGTCTGGCAAAAAATACCCAATAAGACTAACTGATAGAAAGTGAAGAAACATTACACTCTGACCCGTAAAGAAAAAAACAGGGAACCATACCAAATAAAAACTAAGTATTTTTTTTCCTGCTAGAAGCTCAAGATTAATAATTCTTTAAAGGATCCTTCCTTTAAAAGATTTTTTTTTTCATCATCGGAGACATTACACAGTACATCTTTTTTCAACTGGAGTGGGAAGTTGGGGGAGGCTATTGGGTTGGGAGGGAAACATGAGTGCTGTGAGCAGCATTTATAGCACCAAAGTAGGAGCACTTCTAAACTGCACAGAACACAGAGGAGGAGGGGGATGGCATAGAAATATTCAGAAAATCTTTTGCCTAAAATAGGGTGCTTTCTTCAGCATATTTAATTTATCTGATGTCAGAATTCCAACCACCTATCATCCCTAAAGAAATGGGGACCCTGAGCCCTATAATTATTCTGCTCGACTCTTGGTGAGAATACATCAGGAAAAATTCTCAGTCACCATGAGAGAGTGATAATGACAGGACAGACAGATCAACAGATGGGAGACTCTGGGGCAGATTGTCATCTTAATGGCCACTGATTTATGACAAGACACAGCAAAATGCAGTGTGGACTAAAAGGCACTTTTATGCACAAATGGTCCTGGGTCAGCGGGCTAGCCTTGTGGAGAAAACATGACATTAACCTGTAATTAGAGACCCAGAAGAAAAGAAAATAGTTGAAAAGACAAAAGACCAGAATATTCTGAACCAAATAAAAAATTATTAAAGCATTATAACACCTATGCAGGAATAACACAAAGAGAACTACATAAATCTCACAGTAAAATTTATAAATTAAAAAAAAAAAAAGAATCAGCAAAAGGAAAAAAAAGCAATACTAAGAGTTCCACTGACTTAACAGGAAAGATGGAAGTCAGAAGATGGCATGCTGCCTTCAAAGTGCTAAAAAAGTTAGCTGCTGATTAAGACATCTGTTTCTAGAGCAATGTCCTTAAAAACAAAGGTAAGTATACTAACAAATAAACACTGAGAAAATTCATGGCTAGAAGACTGAACTAAAATTAGTTTTTTAAGAACAAGGAAAATGACCCTAGGTAAAAGCAAGAAAATGCAGGCCAAAAAGTGAAGCTACATGTAAAGTTAACTAACATGTATGGAGAAATCTAAATAATTATTAACTACACATAAAAATAAAAGTGCTTTGTGGGGTTAAAATACACATAACCACCCACAATCCAATACCTTTGAGAGGAACCCCTCCCCTTCTTCCCCTCCAGAGATTTGAATTTTGCACTTATCATTTTTTGTTGCTCTCTATATCTTTGCCATATATGTACATTTCTCTAAATGTACTATTATTTAGAGAATAATTATTTCCTTTTCATTGCTTTTGATTTATGTGAATGAAGTGTGCCTCCATATATCTTCTTGTGTACAGTTTATATTTTTTGTTTGACATTATGTTTGTGTAATTTCAGTGAAAACATCATTAGGAATAATCGAAATAAAGACATTAGCTAGGAAACTAAGGATTTGTCACCAGCAGAATTTCTCTAAAAGAAATGCTAAAGTGCAAGGAGAGTTCACAAACTTGGAACTTCAGAACTGAAGGAAAAGCAAAAGAAATCGTAAATATCTGTATAAACAGAAAATAATAATCTAAATATTTAATATTTAAAATTATTTAAAGAAGGTTTTTAATAGCATATAGTTTGGTCTTTTAAAAAAATTCTAATCTGATTATCATACATATATTTTATGACTGTTGACAGCAAAACTTTTATAGCAGTATGTGATAGAGATTTCAATGTATGCTGAGTTACAGACAAGAAGACAAGTGAACTGTAAGATAAGGTTTCTGCATCTTTTTTGAAGTAATAAATTAGTAATTCTGAGAAGACTATAAAACATTAAGCATGTATATTATAATCCCCAGAGGTGCTACAAAAAGTATTAAGAGATACTGTTAAAATTCAACAGAAAAATTAAGTGGAACTCAAAAGTATTTCAAATAACTCAAAAAAAGGCAGAAGAAAGAGCAAAACAAAAAAAAAATTAAACTATCAGGAAAAACAGAAAATAAATAATAAAATGCTAGATCTAAATTTAACCAAATTAATAATTATATTTCATTGAAATGGTTCAAACACACCAGTGGGTATATTGGAGTAAGAATAAAACTAAAAAAACCCAACTATGTTGTGTCTGTAAGAAATCTACAATGAAATATAGAATACAGAACTGAGCAGAGTAAAACAGAAATTGTGGGGGGACAGGGGGAAGAGACAGACCATGGAGACACTAATCAAAAGGAAGAAAAATCTGGAGACAACAGACTCCAAAATAAGAAATAATACCAGATCCAAAGATAGAAATTACTTAATGACAAAGTGGTCAGTTCCCCAAAAAGAGACAACAATCCTAAATGTGTATGTACCTATCTTCAAAATATAAGAAGCAAAAAAAGCTGTAACTGGAAACCAATGCATTTCTTTTCACAATGGATGGGATAGGTCGAACTGAGAATCAGCAAGGACTTCCAGCAAAATGCAGCTCAACTCAAACTACACTTCCACGTACCCTCACCAAACCGACCCTTACAGACCCTTCTATCCAACTGCAGGACAGCAACGTGCACATGTACACAAATGTCCACCACGATGGACCAGACACAAACTTTAATAAAATTTAAAGATATGAGACCATACAAATCACATTCTCTGACCATAATGGAATTAAAGTAGAAATCAGTAACAGAAAGATAATCTGAAACACACTCCAAATATTTGGAAATCAAGCAAAAATTTCTAAATAACACAAAAATACAAGTCAAAGATGACTTCAACAAGAGAAACTAGAAAATACTTAATAAAATGAAAACACAACAGCAAGATCTGGGGTGTGCCGTCAGTGAGTACATAAAGAGAAATGGTTATTATTAAATGCTTGTATTTTAAAAAAATGAGAGCTTTTAAATCAATTAACAAACCTTTCATCTTAAGGAAAATAGAATAAAAAGAGCAAATTATATCCCCCAGAAGTGGAAAGAGAAATAAAGAACCTAAGTCAGAGAAATCAAAAACAAAAGCAATAGAGAAAAATAACAGTCAAAGTTGACTGTAGGCCCTCCCTGGTGGCGCCACGAGTTAAAACATAGCGCTAAGAAGCTAAAGCCACTTCAGTGCCTGCCCTGGAGGAGACCCACATGGCATGGCAGATCTCTCCTGACCCACCCGCTGCTCCCCTCAGCAGTGTACTTCATCCATCTGCCTGTTCTGCTCTCCGCTCTGTGTCTGGTGAATCCTCTCACTGCTCCTGCACCTCTGGCCCGTACCCCAGTTCTGTATGCATAAATAAGTAAATCTTTTTTTTTTTCCAGAACTTTTTTTTTTCAGTTTTTTTATTTTATTTATTACAAAGTTAGTAAATCTTTTTTTAAAAAAAAAGTTGACTATTTTTGAAAGGATTAGCACTAACAAATGTCCAGTCAACCTTCCACGTAAAATGGAGAGAATGTATAAATCAGCAATGTCAGGAATGAAAGAAGTGCTATCATTGCAGGTCTTATTGATATTAGAAGGAAAATAATGAGATATTATAAGTAATTTTTGCCTTGAAACGAGACAAATGAAAGTTTATTGAAATGTACAAACCCCCAGAGCTCCTTCAAGACACACATAATAAAAAAAAAATGCAATAAAGTTACCTTATAATATGTTTGATTTGTAGTAAGATACTACTTTCCAGGGTAATGTTCAAAGCACTTGTTAGGTATTGATTAAACTCCTCAAAGAACATTTCATTCCCTTCTTCATACTTCCCATAGTTTTTTGAGTACTCCTTTTGAATGCAGTGATTGGTCAAATGGCAGGTCTTATCTTGGAAATTATCAACATGATACGGTTCTGAGGCAGTCCGAAGTACACCCTCTTTATAGAGGTAGATGTTATATTGATGATCCACCAAGACCCAGCTCCTGTAAGTCAATGAAACACTGCTTTACCCAAGGTTTCTCCGTATTATTTATAGCAGTCCCACACCTTGACTCTTTTGAAAGGCAGTAGAGGATGGAGGTAGGTTCTAAAGTGATAGGAGGATTGGAAGCTCCCTCCAACTATAGCTCTAAAGCATTCGGAGGGGGAGAGGGGGGTGGATGGGGTAAGCACAAAGAAGGATGGAAGCACAATGGATTATGGCTGATTTGATGGTGGGTGTGCTACAGTGGTGACAACTAATGTGGAGTGGGGATCATAATGGCGCCCCCAATTTAAAAAATAATAAATACATTAATAAAACTAAGTTACAGGATGCAAGTCATGACTTAGCTAAGATTTGGGTCATCCCTCTAATGAGGCAAACGAAAAACTTCACCACAAACATAAGAAGACTTCAATTTATTAAAAAGATAGAGCATTTTGTAGACCTGGGTAGGGTAAGGTTAATCTATGGACCCTTTGTTTGCTCCTCTAGTAATTTTTAAAAAGATTATTCCTCCCAAAGTTGATCTGATCTAAGACTGTGTTCAAGAAGCAACAAATCACTATAACACCATCAAGGAGACAATCTTTGTGTTTTACTATGTCACCATTTCATTCCTGTCATCAAGGAAACAGAATCTCCAAAGCCAAGGGCAAGTTGAAAAAAGGGGCTGTTTAACGTTAGAAAGCACCACACAATCCTTTCTCCACGCCAAGTCCTTTGCTTAGAAAGTTAAAATCCAAAAACTGGAGTTATGTTCATGAAATCCGAAAAAGTGGGACACAAATAATTAAATGAAGACTTATCAATTGAAAGGGGGTGTCTTGTGATCTGTTCTATCTGAATTATGTGTTTTCTGTACATCTCTCAGCTTCTTTCATAAGCAAATACTATCTTTACATTTATACACTTCTCTTTGGTTCCATCAGTTACGTTCATTAGAGAGAAAAAGAAAATTCACAATCTTAGTAGCATTTTCTAGAAAGCAAAGAGAAATGTTAAAAGAAAAATAAAAAAATGAAGTACAGAAGCTCAGTTCCATTCAGCAGACTCAATTTTGGTACATGAAATACAGTCAAAAACTTCCTTACATTCCATTTCACCCCTCTCATCACACACCACTGCATTTTTTCCAGATCGGTAAAACAAAACCTCCAGACACAAATGCATTAATTACCGAATGTCAAACTTGCGATGACCTGGCTCCAGAAGTAGAGGGTGCTCTAAGTATTTCTGGATTACGTGCACTTGGCCCTGGTTGTCTATAAAATCCAGAAGCTCTGTAGCCTCTGAGGAGATGAGAATGCCTTCACCTGAAAGGGCAAATCAAAACAGAATTAGTCCAGGTCATCCCAAAAGAAGAAGCTCTGTACGAAGCCAGAAAGAAAGTAACAACCATAGCAAGAGGTTTTTATTAGCCATCTCACTCTTCTCTTTCTCCCTCACTTCTCTCCTCCAGTTGTTCAACTCTTCCCTCTTCCCACAAGTGCATTAGGGTGTCTCTTTTTCCCTACAGGACTGTGAACACTATCTCTGCAGACTTCACCCTGAGATTTCATATTACAGACTTTTGAAGTGTCTAGCACCCTAAATAAGTGCAACCTACTGCTAAGCCACTGGCTACCATGATGAAGACTGTATATTACTTATGGTCAATGAACACATCTAACCCTGGATCTTATAGAAATACCAGAAAGGTCAGGAAATAAAAGACAAGTATAGAAATATATTCCCTGTTAACACTATAATATTAAAAAATGGGATATATTCAAAGTGCCCAGCAACATTAACTAAATGATATAATATCCTTCTGAACAGCTTTATTGAAATATGGTACATGCCATAAAATCAATAGTTTTTATTATATTCTAGAGTTTTGCAACCATCACTATAATCTAATTTTATAACTATTCATTACCACCCAAAATAACCCATACCCTCTTCACACTAGCCCCTGACAATCACTAATTTATATTCTTTCTGTATGGATTTGCTTAGTCTAGATGTTTTATATAAATGGAATCATATGGTATGCAGCCTTCATTTAACA